TTATGGGAACTGCAAAGGTGGGAGAAAGCTCTTTGCTGGACTGTTGTCACTTTAAAGATTGTCATTTGATTCATTGACAATATGAAATTTCTGATTAGTGCAACTCCAAGTTATATGTTGGGCTGTTGAAAGTTTTTATTATGGACTTGATAGTGTAAAAAAATATTGATTTAAACCATAGGTGAATCCAAATGCCTTTGATTGCTAGCTTGCAGTAGTGTTACATTGTGAAATTAAATGATCTACTTGTTGAAGTATACAGTGTAAAATAATAAAAAGTGGCACAAAGTTAAATTAAATCCTAGCTCTCTATTAGAAGATACAATTTTGTGTTTGTTAACATTCACCATTTTGGAAAGAGACTTCTTTCATTTCCACCTGGATGTTGATGTGTTTAAGCTCTACCACGATATATATGAGGGGATCTAACAGGGATCTAAATTAAATGTTTTCTTCCAAAATGAGATGTCCAGCATTTGAAAAAAAAAAGATACCTGCGCTAACCAAGTGATTGATGGCACCGCATTATAACAAATTACTCCTGTTTCTGAAGCATGGCTGGCAGCAGGGAACTCAACTCCCACTTCCAAGGATGAGAGAAGGATAACACTGACAGACTGGATCCTCTTTATTTCATACATATAGAGTGACAAACTTCAAGCTCAAGAAATGCAAACGCTAGTATGTAAAGAGGTCTAACCCTGACTGCTCACAGAATGTGGCTGACAGGGATTGAGCGTTAGCTTGGACCTCATGCCGACCCCGATTCCATCTGCTGTCGGCTGAGTGGGAGGGATCGGCGTCATCTTGCCGAGTTACAGCGGTGAATGTGCAGCATGTGACAGGATCCACACACCACATGCCTGCTGGTATCAGAGTGTGTTAGTAAAGCATTTCACGTTTTAGTTTTGACTAATTTCAGTTTTATAACCTCTGCAATTGTCTTAGAAAACTGTGGCGCAAATTTTCCTCGAGTGCTTCCTCTGACTAATCATCTGAAGTACCCTCAGCATCAACCACACACACTCGCGCGCACACGCACAGGGACACACACTACAGCCTCTTTCCTTTTTCTCACCCTCTTCTAGCTTCATGTTTTTTACTCACTTTGTCTTTTTAATCTTGCCCCCCCATTCAATTCCCCCTCTTTAATAATGTATGAAGGGGAAATGCAAGCAGACCAAGAGGAACCATTTTTCAAGTGCAGCTCACTGTGTTAAAAAAATAAATAAAGAGAGGCAATAATGAATAAGTGCACCACGTGTTTTGATGTATAAATGAATATAATCCATAATTGTGAAGAAAACGTGAAAGAACATTTTGGGACCAAGCAGCATGAACCAGGACAGATGAAAAATGGGATTGAAATTCCCCTTTTGCCTCTTTTGTTCTCCACATCCATCCTTCCTTTGTTTTTCTGCAATTCTTTTTCATCCTCGCTCTATTGCTTCTTTCTTTTCTCTCCTCACCCTTCCTCCCTTTCTTCTTTCTTGTCTTTCTTGGTTTCTTATTCCTCCTTCTTCCCAACACGCCCCCATTCTTGGCCTTATCTTTTCAGAAATAACTCCTTTCCTCTTTCTAATTTTGTCTTTTTCTTGCCTTCTTTCCTTTTCCTCTGCCCTTCCTCAATTCTAAATGTCTTCTCTTTCTTCCATCCGTCACGTTCTGTCCTTCATTTCCTACATCCTTCCTTTTTTAATTACACCTTTCCCTCCAACCTCTCAATCATTTATTTATTTTCTCACTTATCCATCTATTTCCCTTTTTCCTTCCTTCTTCCTATTTTCCTCTTCTTTTTTTTCTAATTACTCCACCGCTTCTATTCCTTTACTCTCTCCCTCTCCTCCTCCTCCAGGTCCGCCTGCTGTACTGCTCCCTGGAGGAGGCCGAGCTGGTTTTCCGGGCAGCCTGGGCGGCGGGTCAGGCCGGGCCCAGTCACATGTGGTTTGCCGTGGGACCTGCCCTGTCCGGCTTGGGCCTGGAGGGGCTGCCTAAGGCCTTGTTCGCCATCCGGCCGCAGGGCTGGAGGGATGAGCCACGGAGGTACGGTCTTAGCCTGGAGTAAATGCAGTTTGTACAGTTTTGCCACAATAAGCTACAGGTGGTATCGTCCTTGGCAATAGAAAAGGCCCATACAGCAACATCGATTTCCTTGATCTTGAACATGCCATGTTTGTTGACACGTCTGTCAGCCATGCCTACTACCTAATTTACATATTGATCACTGTCTGAGTAGAGGGTGTATGTGTAAAGGCTCATGGTCAGATGTCATAATCCAGATTCTGATTGAAAGTTAATACCAGGCACAGTGAGGTCAGTATTGTCCACCATACAAGAATAATGGACTGTTGTATTTGTGATAAAAAAGCTTTGAGCTGTACCCCGCTGCCTTCAGGAATCTATCTAAAGTTTGCAAACATCAGCTAACATTAGCCACAAGCGACACCAGACCCAGTAGCAACAAATCTCCTCCATTTTATTGACCAAGGGTGTGTTCTATTGGCTAGAAAGTCAACTTTTTAAGCATAAAAGAAAGATTGTGGTATTTAGTCTTTAAAAGTTATTATCTTTTTCACTTTTTACCACACCACCCACTCTCATTATCATAACATTTATGGCGATTTTCAATGGAAAATTCTTTTTTTATTTTATTTTCAGTGGTATTAAATCAACTTCCTGCAGTGTTTGTCTCTTTGAAACCTGCAGATAACCAGTCAGCGTACCCTTTGTTTTTCTCAAATAAAAAGTGAAATTGTAAGAAAATATAACTGAAGGACCACTTTGATTTAGAACTTGTAATGCTGCTCATTTGTAAAATTGTTCTTGAATGGCTCTTTATAGCACACGAGGGCTTTTGGATAATTCCCTGGTGCTCTGTAAAGTGTACCGTTTGCTGTGCCATCATTACTGCTGCTGAAGATCCATGCAGTTCCAATGCTGTAGTCTCTTGTCTCTCAGTTGAATTGTGAATTTACATGTATTAAGTGAGTTCTGCCATGCAGAGCCATGAAGCTGCTGAAAACCCAACCTTATGGTTTTAAAAATACATGAGGATCAGTGAGAAAATATACATTCTCTATTTCATCCCCAAAATACACACAGCTAGTGCACCTCTGTGTTTTTCCTACAGAGGTACACACAGTAAAATTTTACGACCACCTGCTCTGTCCATGATGTATTCTCTGCTGCAGGGATGACCTGATTTCACCACAGGGATCATTAAATTTTCATCTAATCTAATCTAAATAGACTGACCAAGGGAATCTAGGTGGAAGGTAGACCTCCTTTATTGGTTTTAACTGTTAAATCTTCCTCAGTCATGACAGGAAACATAGAGGGAGGAAGGTTGGAGAGATAGAAAGGATTTTTGCCCTTTATAAAGACTGTTTAATAAAGTGGGCCAAAGATGAACATTTAGTATGTGAGATGTTTTTTTTAATTTTATTACAACAGAAATCCATACCTGGTTAAGAATATTTTGGCTTTTGTACAATAAGGTTTTTCTACAAAGCACTGGTACAATCAATCAATATACAAACAGCTTTTAACTTGAATAGATGTGTTGCATTTGGAGTAATGAAAGCTCAAGGATATGACGTTTTTAAATCATCCCACATATCACCTTGGGTATTGCCACATCGCTCCCTGTGCTTTATTAAATACGTCCTGTCTACCGGCTGTCTTGAATCCATTGAGATGCAGCATTCTGAATGCATCAGATTTCTATGTTCCTGAAATTAGTGTCCACGCTAGAAGGAAAGCCCAAGTGAGCGGCACACTTGTCACTACCAGGCAGAATGTCACGGTTCATTGTGAAACACAGATGGTGTGAGCCAAGACTGGGTCTGGATACTTAGAGGGATGTGACAAACGCAGATGGGTCCTCATGAAGACTTGACTGTCAGGTTTAACCTGCACTTCATTCCTAAATTAAAAGGTCTAGCCTCACTCAGACCAAAACTAATGGTGGCGCTGCATACAGACACTCCTCCTCAGAGTGAAAATTTTCAATTTTATCTCCAGCAGGAAGCAATTACAGTTAGTTTTTGCACACCAGAAATTCTTGTGTGTCAGATTAAAAACCTCTAACTATAGAAGAATCCAAAAATCCTGCACACTGTCTATCACTTGGACTCAATTTATAGTACTGATGGTTTGACGTTGGACCTTTATGAGGTAAAATCTATCAGTGCTACCAGTACTGCATGTATAAATGAAGTTGAAGTTCCAAGATGAGTTTACAGAGTTGTGAGGTTCAACTTAAAAGCATAATATACATGTACCAACTGGCCAGGTTAAAAGTCATAATATATCCATACAATGAAACCTGTGCTTTTCTCAAAGTGGAGTTTATGCTGGGCTTCCATTTTAACACCATGCCACATGGGGACATTACCTTAGTACATGAAACTTTCAGTCATCTCGGGCTTACATAGACAGTCCCTCCAGGATTTGACAGGCTTTTTTTGGGACTGTTGCAGCATAAAATGAAAAAATAAAGGCAACTGGTTCCAGTGAGAATAAAATTAGTAGTAGTTTGGTGATGTATGGCTCAATGTTTTGTGTAAAAGTTGGAAAGATTGGACAAAATTGCAAAGTAGGACAGTATTTGCAGGGATTGGTTGAATTTGCTTTAACTGTTGCGATTGCAACATTGCAACTTCCTGGAGGGACTGCTTACATTACATGTATACACCGATCAGCCATAACATTATAACCACTTGGGCACCCTGGTGGTCATAATGTTATACAGCCCCATACCAACAAACTGTGATGCACTGTATGTTCTGACACCTTTCTATCAGAACCAGCATTAACTTTTTCAGCAGTGTGAGCTACAGCAGCCTTCACTCCCCACGTGCATC